TTGGAACATTTTTTTTAGTGTTGAAAATCACTTACCAACATTGACCTCATGCTTCTTCTTTACATTTGGAACTGTGTCAATTGTAACATCAGGCTCCAAATTCTGTGAAAAAGAAGAGATACAAATGCATTAGAAATCAAAATCATTAAATTTTAGCAATAACTAGATTTGAGACTTGAATTTAGTACATCTTGATTGATAGTTGGATGCAGCCATCCAGTGGTGATTGCTTTTATGGTTGCTACTGCTTCCAATCCACCAGCAGCCCCAAGACCATGTCCAATCATTGACTGCAATTAGATCCCAAAAAACAAAATGTATAAATCAAATTATTTTGGTCATATGAGAAAATCCCACACGAAATCTAATGGTATAATATCATTCTTCAATCTTTTTGGCTTTCTTGCCTTAGTCCCATTCATCTTAAGCTCAGATGTGTCCTTAAAGACCTTCTTGATTGCATTGACTTCAGCTAAATCCCCAGCTAGAGTTGATGTTGCATGAGCATTCACATAGTTCACCTGTAAATCATCAACACAATTATCTTTAAATGAGACTGTCACAATTCAAAATCTTTAATTAGAGTTAAGATTAAAAAAAAAAGTACTAACCTCTTCAGGGGAAACTCCAGCATCTTGTAAACTCTTGGTTATGCAAGATGAGACCCCAAGGCCATCTGGCCTAGGATCAGTCATGTGATGAGCATCACATGTTATGGCACCTCCTAAGTATTCTGCTATTATCTTTGCTCCTCTTTTCATTGCACTTTCCAAGCTCTCCATTATCTTTACCAAGTTTAAAAAAATCAGTTAGTAAAATCCAAAAGGCACCACATAAGTTGTATCTACATGATTGGACTACAACATAGAAGTGAAGTGAAAGGTGCTTTAGATGTTGGAGCAACTCTATGTGATCCTCACTGCATGTTTTTAACCAATCACAAATTCACAGGTCAAATTCTGAGACCTGCATAGTCTTACATTTTGATTTCTAACTAGTTGAAGAAAAGAGTGTTAATTTATCTATTCATTCTAAAAGTTTAAGCTATTAGAAGGTGGGATAATAATTATTCTATATTCTAACACCCCTCCTCACATGTAAGACAGACAATGGAAAAACGTGACGGTAAATATTAATTAGAAAGCTTAACAAAAGAAGAAATCCTAAGCATATTAAAGGCCTCACAACTGATAGCAATTCTTAAGGATATGAAGAGTGAAATTATAGGAGTTTGAACTCATTACTTTCCTTTTTGATACCATTTTAGTTTACTAAGTCATCCCAAAAGCTTAAGTTATTTGGAGGTGTGCTGATAATAATTTTGTATTCTGACAAAGGGCTTAGCATTTTTCAGAGATAGGATTAATCATACCAGCACACCACATCCTTCTCCTATGACGAAACCATCACGATCTTTGTCCCACGGTCTCGAGGCCTTCTGGGGTTCTTCATTTCTTTGAGACAAAGCCCTGCAAGCTATGAACCCACCAACACCAGTGGGCAGGATTGGAGCCTCACTCCCACCAACCACCATGATATCTGCTTCACCTCTTCTGATGTGGTTTGCAGCCGCAAAGAAGCAGTAGTTGGCAGTGGCACAAGCAGTAGAGATGGAGTAATTGGGCCCCATCAAGCCAGTATCTATGGCTAACAATGCTGACCCCATATTGGTTATAGAGTAAGGAATGAAGAATGGAGATATCTTCTTGTATCCCTTTAGGATAAGATTTTCAACCCCAGTGGTGAAAGCAGTTAAGCCCCCCATGCCTGTTCCAACCAAAACTCCAATTCTTGATTTGTCCATCTGTGACACAAAGCAGAGAAACCAAAAAAAAAAAAAGGTTCAATTATTAGTGTTTAACAAAAAGCACTGGTTGAATTACATAACAAATACAATGTGACTAACAGTATCAAGAACTTCATGTCCAAGGTTGGCATCTTCAAGTGCCCTCTTGCCACCAACCAAACCGTATCTCCAGCAAT